TTGCTACATCACTTTTGATTCCCAAAATTTTCATAATTCTGGGAGCATTCCTTTTAACCCACACCGTCTGTCTCCATCTACCTACTATTCCTTCTACAAAACTACTGCCAAAATTGTAATTTCTCATCATCCTTGTATTTTATCAGTGTTAGTCACTAGACTAGTAGTACTTCACAACTTGTATAGTCATGTCTCTTGTGATCATAATACAGGAAAGGTCATTGTCACCTGATAGGACTGAAGCCTCTTGAACCACATTTGCAAAATCTTCAGAGAGAGCAAGCGGCTAATGCTCAAATACAGTCGCCAACTACTGACTGTCAGCCAGTTACCGGCCTTGCAGCTCATCCCAGGCCAGATTTCTGTTCTGTGCAGAGTGACAAAGTGGGAAGAACCAATTCCAGTAGGGAATTGCCAGCTGTACAACCTATCACAGGGAATGCAACTGTAGGACCTGGTTCTTTCTTTTCTCGGCATTTATTTGAGTTACTTTATCGTGTATGCTGGTTTTGCATGGATGAGAAGTTAACGTGACTGCATTCATGTTCCTAAATTTATCAAATGTCTAGTTGAATAATGTCAATTTATTATAATAGTACAAAAACAGGGTTGACTGTTTCATTTTTTTGTTTAATGGAACATTTCAGGGATCTGTTCAAAAAGATACACAAATAGCCAGTTCAAGTTGCATGTCAATTGATCAGATTTGTGAAGAGAATATCCAACTCTTTAGGAGGTACATGCTTCTTTAAAAATATGCTCTCTTTAAGATACAGCCTACTGGCATATAGTTAACCTTGCATAATTTATTAATCGATGATGGATTTATACACTTAAAAGAGTCATTTGGTACCTCATATAGAATAAGGTGGGTGTATCCCTTCAGATTGGATTGTTGATAACAGGATTCTTGGCCATGTTGGATAAGGTGGGATTATATCCACCTAGATTGTATTTCTGTTAGGGAATTGTAGGCCAAATTGAAATCTTTGTCCTATGAATGCTATGCTGGAGTAGTCAGATAAACTCTTAGTACAAAAATGACCTTAGATAGTGTTTAGCAATATCATATATTAGTTATCAAAGAGTTAAAGGAAGAGAACAAATTTTAAGCCTTTTGCTACTGTAGAACTCTTCTACATATGCATTAGTGTGATTTTCGTTTGTGTCCTTCTTCTTTGGCTTGCAATTGCTTTTTTTTTTTCTTCTTTCTGTTACTAATCTCTCTTCTTTTTCTTTTCAATAATTATTTCCTTCTTTTGGTGTGTCTCTTCTTCATTTGTTGGTTATGCTTTCGGGCTTATCTTCTGGTTCTCTTGTTGCTCATTCTTGTTGTCAAAGTGTCACGACCCAAAAAAATGAAGGGTCATGGCCTGGGTTGGCTTACCAGGCAAACCCTGTACCTTGTGCTAAGACAAACTAAACAATCATAACCACGAAATATAACAAAACAGCAGAATATGAACGATCTTTGGCCCGCTCTGCCAGTATTATCAAACCTGGTCAGAAAACACATTGTTGGAGCTGCACATGATTAATCGTTGACAAGTTCTGATGGAAATTAAAGGATCATGATGTGATGTAAAAAGTCATCTCCTTCATTGGAACAGAATAAAAGCCTTCAACATGGTGGGTGGCAGGAAAATCAAGGGGTGTAGTGGCATGCAAAGTGTCTTGTCTAGCAATAAATGAAGCTTGGAATGGACCATGAAAGAATTGAATTGAAATCCCAATAGAGACAGAAAATGCTAGGTGATTCTTCCCATATATCTATCCTTGATAGACAGAATTATCTGGCACTTGGGGCTGGTGCAAGGCAACAAGTACCCTGTGGGTTAGTTCAGGTGCGCGTAAGCTGGCATGGACACCACCATTATTTAAAAAAAAAAGATCAAGGGTTGCAGTGTAAAGCAATTGGATTTGAGGGGAAGAAGATTCTGCAGAATTCATGCTACTGGTTCCTCTCGAGTTTGTTGATCAATGGATGAGTGACAACCGCATGTTGCTTCTTGTGGCATGAGCCGTCCAATATGAGTACATGATTAATGTTTTGAACCTTTGGATTTGGTTTTGCACTTAAATTTGCCTTGGAGATTTAAAGATATAAGCTTCTCGTCCTTTATGTCTCTTACATCTCTGATTTAGGAAGCCTCAATGTAGTTTCTGGACTAATCCTTATTTCCTGTTTCCTTCTCTAGTTTGTATCAGCTTTTGGCCTCCTCGTGTGATCACAAAATGTTTAGCAACTAAACTGATTGGCTCTACCAGTTTAACACTTTGAATCTTTGTTCGACAGGTGTGAGTCATACATCCAAAGGGAAACCGAGTTGAAACGTACAGTATGTAGCACTTCCATGCGGAGCATGTGTTTGATACTTAGTTTTCTTTTAAGTTATGTTATTGAACTTAGTCTAGTAACGCCACCTTTTTTATCTAACATATTTGTCTCAATTTTATTCTGTCCGCTTGGATTGACACAGATAGAGGAGCTTGAGAAAGAGTTAGAGGACACTAAAAAGAAATCTGCCGATCTTTCTTCACGCCTGGAAAGTCAGAAAAAGCTTAAACTTCTGAAACAATGTGGGTAGAAGGCATACAGAGGGTCTATCCTCTCATGAATTGTATGCATTCGGTTTGATCATGTTGAATTGATAACCGTAGACTTCTCGGTGCCTCTTCCAGGGAATCTTCAACCTTCCATCTCTTTGCCCCCTACCTCCCCCCCTNCCCCACCAAAAAAAGAAAAAGAAAAATTAATTAATAGTCATTAAAAAACTCAAGCACATTAGATGAGTACAACAACAAACCCAACTTAATCCCATAGTTGTAGTTGGTAAGCGCATTAGATGAGTAAATTATTAAATTGGTTTTGTGTTTGTCCTCAAATCAATTAAATATTTTTTCCATTTAAAAGAAAATAGGATAAAAAACATTTCTCCTCTATGTTTGGATTCATTTAAGTAACATGTTAAAAGATATGCATAAATCGTTTTCTAATATAATTTTACTTTTGGAGAAAATGAAATAAGGGTTAAACAGAATCCTTCTCATGTTAGCAGTTCTCTCATGTTGGTGACTTGAACATTTTCATAGTATCAAAACCTTGTACGGAATCATTCTGATCAAATAACCTTTGTTAGTTGACAATCTGCTAGCCTAGGAGCATGTTTGTAAGGTGCAGTGTTTGATAGCCAATTGTGCTTCCAAATTTCAGTGAACTTAATATCCCCTACCTTCGATTTCACGGCATTTACTATGTAACAAGCTTTCTAAAGCCACGTTTTTCATCTGCTTAAACTTCTTATAACGTACTCAAGTTCAGTGGAAACTTTCCCCATCTTGTCATCCCATCTCTACCAAATTAATGCTATCAGTTTGTTGATGATCCTGCACACCTTCAGTTATTTAAACATAAACAGGGTAGCTTTTCATAGCATCGGGACAGATTTTGCAAGGCCTCTCTCTAGATTATTGAAAAATCCCTCTTTTTATTACGTTATCTTGTAATTTGTCGTCCTTTGCAGATGTAGTTGCTTGAAAATTGGTATTTTATCCCCTTCCTTGAACCAATGATAAGAAACGGAAAGATGATAAAAACAAGTGAGCCGGATCGATTGCATGTTTTGTACTAACAAGCCTGAGGAAATGTGTTCTAACAATTGAGACATGGTAAATTAGACGCTATACGGGTTATTTCCTTCAAGATTGGTTCAGCAGTGATGTCTCTGTCTTGATTGCAACTATTCCAAGTACCATTCAAGAATCAAGTATCCTTCTTCTCGTACTGATCCATGATTATCCTTGTTATTCTGTGTGTATTTCAGACATGTAATGTAAAGTAAGTTTTCAACGTGATAGGCTCTCTGCATCCTAATTGGATTGGGTTGACGACATGCTATGCAATAAAAGAGAAGATAAGTGAAATTGTTATAAATCCACTTGCACAGAAGGTGGATGTCCAACTTGAGATTTGAAAATCTTGCCATATCTAGATTTGTCTTCATGTCTAGATTTGTATTGATTTTGAGACTCATAACTAGATTTAGAAAGTTATGTAATAATGCAATAGTATCTATAAATTGGTTCATTTATGAAAGGAGACACTTTGAAACGAAGAAAGAAGCGTTCCTTTATGATATTATTTTCTTTTATTATTAATCTTAATTACATAGTTCTTGCTATATTGCTTTTATTTCATAACACGTTATCAACACGAATTGCTCATTTCATAATCTTTTCTGTCAAGATTATATAGTAGGTGCTACTTAACTTCCACGACTCAGCCATACCATTTCAGCGGTAAGAAAACTTCTTTCTAATTTTTCTTCACAATGGTAAGAGTTTATACATTGATACTGGTGTGAGCACGTAATTTTTTCCCCACACCTAAATTACTCCTAAAAATACTTAAAAAATAGTTTTAATTGTCTTTACGGAATTTTAGGAATTTTCTTTATTTTTTATTTTTATTTGTTTTGGCATTTATATGAATTTTTAGCATATTTAGTGACATTTTAAAGTATAAAATCTGACAAAAAAAAAATTCTATGTTTTACTCTTTACGTTTTTAGATTTTAATCACATGTTAGTTGCATTTCTAAAAAATACATAAAATTAAAATATATTAGTCAATTTACATGCACTTTTAGTTAAATAATTAGTTAATTGTTAGAAAACAGTTAATAGGTTAATTTTGCAAAAAACAGGATTAATTTGGAGTAATGAATAAATTGGCTACAATTTGAAAATCAATTGTCAATAACTGAAAAGAAAGAGAAAAGGGTTGTTAGAGTTTTTTCAAAACGAATCTGGGCCAGATTTTTAGCACCCCAGTCCACAACCTTACGCCCCAATCCCTTCCATGCTCGGTCCATATCCTTCTGACCCGCAAGACCACTCAAACGACCCTGTTTTTGCCCAAAACATTCCCAACCGTTGATTACCCCCAGATCTAACGGACCCGAACTCACCTGCCCATTACACAAAATTGTTTGAAGAGACCCCCTCACAGACACCTCTTTCTCACCTCTCTCACCCCTCGTCATTTCCGCCGCCAAAAATTGCCTCACGGTGGCGGGTAATCACCAAAAGACCCCATTTCTTCACCCTACAGTCCCCAGCCCGTCCTCGTTCCATCTATCATTCATTTTCTCAAAAATCCAACGGAATTCCACTATTAGTAGATCTAAGATTGGCCAAAGTACCAAAATCCTTTCTCTTCGTCTGTTGCTTAAATCCCAGGCCTGTTTGGTGTTGAAATCGATCCCAATCAGTAGCCATTGGCTTGAATCTTCAATTGGAGGGGTGGTTCCAGTCCTTTCACGACTGCTAGAAGATGGCCAAATCGCCCCGAACCGGCCCAAAGCACCTCGAGTCATCTGATATCTATTCCTTCGACTGGCAAGATGTATTTTAACATGAAGCATTGGCCCCTGAAGAGATTCCGGCTAGTGCTCGTGTAACAATCCCTCCGTCTCGCCGGAATTCATTTGGCCGCATTATTTTGAACCCCGGATAGGTGTGTATCTCCTTATTTTGCTGTCGATTTGTTTTCATGCTTATTTTTCTATGTTGGTTTTCAGATAGGTTTAGTCATCTCAGTTTCATTTCATAACTAATCGGTCTAGGATTTCATATTGGAACCATTTGTTCTAGTAGTTAATATTGCTATAGGTTGATTGATTACTGTGAATTGTTTGTTTTCTAGTTGCTCATATAATAGTCATTTGTGATTTCAAGTTAAATCTCCGTGTTATTGTTCCATTTGCATTGACTATGAGACATTCATTGATTTAAGACTTGCTAACTGAAACTATTCGGTTTAAACTCAATTGAGCTGTGAGTTACAGGGGTAAAAGAGGAGTTTAAAAGAGTTTGAAGGACTGGTTAGAGTAAAAATTGAACTTCTGGGGGCATTTGGGAGATAAAACTTAGAGGAATCTTTTCTGTTGCTGCTGGGAAAGCTTCTAGAATAGAGAAGAGGGGTCACTTTGCAATAGGAAAATACAGGATTTAGGGTGAAGCAGGTAAATACAGAAAGCAAAAGGATTAAGAAGAAAGGAAAGAATAATTGGAAAGGGACAACTATCCAAATCAGTTAAAAAGATGCATTTTTCCTATTTTTTAGGGCTGGCACATTCCTAGATTATTCCCTATCTTTTTGTGCATATAACACACCCTCACATTCTATATAAGGACACACATTCCCTTACTATAACATACATTGATCCTCTGCAGAATTCTCATACATATTCCCTCACCTTCACTGATTTTCACTAGTCACACACAGAGAAACACCTGAAAGCAGATTTTGAAGAGGATTCTATATTATCTTCTGCATTGGAAGCTGGTTTTCTACTTTTTTTTTCTTGGGGTTTGCTAAGCTTCGTTCTTCAATTCTTTGACTTTATTTGGCTTATTCAGCTTGTGTCAAGTCTAGGTACACATCTCAAATTTTTGTTTTCTCCTGGATCTATAATGAAATGCTGGTTGTTTCTTCTAAAGTTCGTTTGCTGTGTTTGATAGAATCTGTTGTTTATAAACTTAGTTGAAATGTTTGATATAGTTAATACCTAAAATATGTTGTAGATCTAATTAATAATAACCGGTTGCTTTGAAATTAAATTTGTGACTAGAGTGTTAACAGAACTCATATATTTAGCTTGATGTAACAAATGTTAAGCTCACTAAGCTCAACAATGGTGAAAGATTCGGGAAAGAACAGAGTATTGGAAAGGAAAGAGAAGAAAATAGAGTGCAAGAGAGAGAGAAGCAGAGAAAAGAGGAAAAGAGAATATTCATTTAGCATAATCTCCCACTCTGTTACAGCTTGTACAAATACAGCTAAGAATGCAAATACTGCTAACACGTGTCCTAGACTATAGAGAACATACAGAAACTTGGATGGACCTAATGGACATAAAATACTGGAAAAAGTGTAAAACCTCTAATCTCTAATTAAACAACTCAATAACTAACATTTCTAATATCATCTTCACTCGTTACATGCCATCCTCCCTTGAGAACCTTGTCCTCAAGGTTCAAATTGGGGAAACTGGAATTTGATGAAGTTTTAGTCCTCCCATTATAATAGATTTGGCCATTGCACAAGAACCTGAGTGGTAGCTGCGTTTCGTTTCTTCACCATACGCCTGTCCAGAATTGCAATTGGTTCCACTAGAGGCTGTCCATCACGAGAACATATAGGGGGCTCAATGGAAGGAATCTAATCTATGCCCCACCCTTTTCTTCAACTGAGAAATGTGAAAACTGAGTGTATCTTGGATGAAGGAAGTAATTGTAACTTATAAGCTACTAGACTGATCTTCTTAATGATTTGATAAGGACCATAAAATTTGGCCACTAGCTTCAGACTCTTCCTTATAACAATTGAGGTTTGCCTATAAGGTTGTAATTTGATGAACACCCAATCTCCAACCATAAACTCCCTTTCTGTTCTGTTCTTGTCTGCATAAAACTTCATTCTGCTTTGAGCTCTTTTTAGGTTCTCTTTCAGTAACCTTGCCATCAATTGTCTTTCTTTAATTATTTGATCTACAACAGCTATTTTGGATTGTAAAATCAATTCAAAAGACAACTGAGGAGGATCATATACATATACAACTTTGAAAGGGGTCATTTGAGTAGCTGAGTGGTAATTAGAATTATACCAAAACTCAGCTAAAGATATCCATTTGCTCCATTCCACTGGTTTATGGCTGGTCATACACCTTAAATAATTTTCCAAGCACCTGTTTACTCTCTCAGTCTGCCCATCTGTTTGTGGGTGATAGGTTGAGCTGTAAACTAACTTAGTTTGCAACAAATTGAAGAGCTCCTTCCAGAAGATACTGAGAAAGACTTTGTCTTTATCAGAAACTATGCTACTAGGTAAGCCATGCAACTTATAGACTCGATCTAGAAATAATGAAGCTAACTTTACTGCAGTAAAATGATGAGCTAAAGTTAAGAAATGGGCATATTTGCTATACCTATCAACCACAACCATAATTGTATCTTTCCCTCTTGACTTGGCTAAACCTTCAATGAAATCCATCGATATGTATTCCCAAGGTCAGGAGGGTATAGGTAGAGGTTGAAATAGACCCAGATATGCTACCTGTTCATTCTTACACCTTTGACATATTGCACCGTTCTTGACCACCTTTTTAACATCTTCCAGTATTGAGGGCCAATAAAACACAAATTTAACTCTATGGAGGGTAGCAGTGATGCCAGAGTGACCTCCCAAATTGGAAGAATGCACATGTTGTACCAATTGCTATCTCAAATTTCCTTGCTTACCGACCCAGACCTTCCCTTTCAATCTAAAGATGCCTTGCTGCAGTGTTACTTCAGTTGAAGCTGTAGGATCAACTGTAGGAGCACAGACTATCTTCGTTACTTCCTCATCCCCTTCATAACTATTCTTGATCTCCTCCATCCATTTTGGTTGCAATTGTATTAACATTTGACAAGCAACAACAACTTCTGTTAACATTTGCCTCCTCGAGAGGGCATCTGCTACTGAATTACCAATTCCTTTCTTGTAATGGATCTCAAAACTTAACCCCATCAACTTGGTCAAGCCTTTATGCTGCAAGACAGTGGTGATTTTTTGTTCTTGGAGAAACTTAAGGCTAAAATGATCGGTCATTATAATGAAATGACTAGGGATCAAGCAATGTCTCCATTTGTTGACAGCATGTAATATGGCAATCAACTCATTCTCGTATGTTGAGAGACCTTGATGCTTTAGGCTTAGTTCCTGACTAAGAAAGGCAATGGGCCTTCTATCTTGCATAAGAACAGCTCCCACACTTGTTCCACAAGCATCCACTTCCACTACAAATGGTTTGCTAAAATTAGGTAGGGCTAAAACTGGGACATTAGTCATTGCCTTCGAGTGCCTTAAAAGCTTCAGTAGCTTCATTGTTCTAGTGGAAACCCCTTTTCTTCAACAATGTAGTCAAAGGTTTACTAAGTGTAGCATAATCCTTAATAAACCTTCTATAATAACTAGTGAGGCTGAGGAATCCTCTTAACTCTTTGATATTTGTAGGTAGGGGACAAGTAACCATTGCTGAAATTTTGCTTGGATCTGTACTGACACCTTCACCATTGATAATGTGACCAAGGTGCTCTACTTTTGGCTGGGCAAAGTCACATTTAGATCTCTTAGCAAACAATTCATGTTGCCCCAATAAGTCTAAGACAATCTGCAAGTGTTCATCCAATGATAAACTGTAGTCCAGTATATCATCAAAAAAGATTAAGATAAACCTCCTTAGATAGGCCCAAAAAACTTGATGCATCAAGGATTGAAAGGTGGCTGGTGCATTTGTTAAGCCAAATGGCATAACCCTGAATTGCCATAGTCCATGATGTGTTCGAAAAGCAGTCTTGTGCTCATCTCTAGACTTCATTCTCACTTGATGATAGCCAGACCTATGGTCTATCTTAGAGAAAACTTTGGCTCCTTTCAACTCGTCTAACAAGTCCTTTACCAAAGGAATATGGTACTTATTCTTGATTGTTAAAGAGTTTAATCTTCTGAAATCCACACATAGTCTCCAAGAGGAATCCTACTTCTTTACTAGCAATGCAGGTGATGCAAAAGTAGACTGACTAGGTACCACTATCTGAGCTTGTAGCATATCCCCAACCATTTGTTCAATAGCATTCTTCTGATCATAGGAATATCTATAGGGCCTCAAGCTGAAGGATTGTGCTTCTGGAATTAAAGAGATGGCATGATCACAGTCCCTAGGTGGGGGCAGTCCTTTAGGTTCTTCAAAAACATCAACATATTTGTCTAACAATGCTGAAATGGAAACGGGAGAGAAGAAGGAGCCATGATGGCTTCCAGCTCGAGGGTGACCCACATGTCATTCAGCCTATCATATATGCTTCCTGAGGTCCCTCAACATTATTATCCCTTTCAAGATGTTGCTTATGCCGTGGCACCACCTCCTTATGCGGTAATGAATGCACAACCTTACACGCGGCCACAACATCATACTTAAAACCGAGCTCCACCTCCCATAAATACCCATCCTTACCAAGCTACATATAATCCCAACCAAATGTTCCCTAGTACAATCCTCGCCCAAGAGAGCCTTTTAGAAAGAATCAGTTCACCCCTATTGGTGAATCGTATTCAAGCTTGTTCGAAAGGCTAATCAGGCTAAATCTATTGCAGCCAGTGGCCCCGTACCGGCCGAACCCCGAGTCCCAGTCGCACCGAGCTGATGCTAGATGTGAATACCACTATGGAGCAGTGGGACATGGTACAGATGACCGTTGACCCTCAAAAAGGCAGTTGAAGATTTGATTGAAGCTGAAAGAATTGTTTTTTGGGATGAAGAAGCTCCTGATGTGATGAACAATCTGTTGCCTGCTCACAACACTAGGCCAATAGTCGGAATGATTTGTGAAGATGAGGAATTTGATCTGGCACTGAAGGCTATTACAGCCATTGCCGAAATAGAAGAAAAGTCAAAAGATGGTCGCCAAGCCTGAAAGTTCCCCATTAGACGGGAGTCTTGGTAGCCAATCTTATTATCCTTTATGCGTTCGGATTATCTTAGGGTGTGATCCGGATGTTCTACTTTAATGTATTACTTTCTGATGTAAACCCATCTATCTTTGAATTAAAAAAAATCATCATAAAAAAAAAATCAAAAAATCAAATGATATTAATATTTCATTGTCCAGGAATATCTCTTTTCTTAATCTTGTCATTTTTTCTTATTCTCTTTTTAGTTCTTTTAAATGCAGATTTCAATAACATGACATGCTTGCGGACTTCATGCTCAGATCCTAAAATGTTGTCTGACTTTGAAATAATGAATCAAGAATTAGATTGCAATGAAGATAAGTTTAAGGAAATAAAACAAAGAGTTGGAACAACTAAGAAAAATTGGCTCCAGATTGGAAAGATCCATACATGGTAACAAGGGTACTGCCAAAGAGAGCGTTGCACCTGGAAAATATCGAAGGAAATATCCTGAAACAATTGTCAATGCAAATGCAGCCAAAAGGTACTATGTTTGATCCTCCATACATTATTAATATTCTCCGGTTGGGATGACGAAGACTTTCATTCTCGCTACCCAAATACCATTAACCCTTTTGTAAACCATTTGAGCCGGTTACTCTTCTTCGATTACCCTTTTTGGAACTTGAAAGTGTTACAAACAAAAAAAAACTAAAAAAAAAGAATGAAATGAAAAATGAAAAAAGAGAAGAAAAAGGGGGTGGGGGGTGGGGGGAAGAAAAGACAAAGAAAATGAAATAAAAAAAAGATGAACAAGAGAGGAAAAAGGAAAGGAAAAAGAAAGAGAAAACAAAGCAAAAAGAAAAACAAAACAAAATCAAAAAATAAAGTTCTCTGAACTACGTTCGACTTGATTCCGAAATGATACGTAGGCAACCTCTCATTGGAGGTTCAGTCACACCAAAAGACAAAGAAAAGACAAAGAAAATGAAATAAAAAAAAGATGAACAAGAGAGGAAAAAGGAAAGGAAAAAGAAAGAGAAAACAAAGCAAAAAGAAAAACAAAACAAAATCAAAAAATAAAGTTCTCTGAACTACGTTCGACTTGATTCCGAAATGATACGTAGGCAACCTCTCATTGGAGGTTCAGTCACACCAAAAGACAAAGAAAAGACAAAGAAAATGAAATAAAAAAAAGATGAACAAGAGAGGAAAAAGGAAAGGAAAAAGAAAGAGAAAACAAAGCAAAAAGAAAAACAAAACAAAATCAAAAAATAAAGTTCTCTGAACTACGTTCGACTTGATTCCGAAATGATACGTAGGCAGCCTCTCATTGGAGGTTCAGTCACACCAAAACAAAAATCCAAATTCCCCCCAAAAGTGAAACTGGGGCAAATGTTATAATAGTTCGGCGATGATCCCTCCTGAATGGTTCCAAAGTTGTAATTCAGTCCAAATCATTTTTACCCAAGTCCTTTCAAGTCCTTCCGATCAATCGGTGAGAATGTTCAATGATCGGAGAACGCATCTACTTAGAAAATAAGAGTCTTGTTAGTGAAAACTCACAAAGAGTGCTACAAGGTGATGGTGAGAAGAGACATGAGAGAGGTCAGCCGGTGAAAACCCGCAAGGGGCACCCCTGATCGAAAAAGGATCCTAACAACCACTGACATCGACAGAGTCTTGGCAAGGTTTAACGATTTTAAGGCAAAAGTTGTGATGAATTTTTGAGAATCGGACGGTTTACACAGATCAGACATCCAGTCCAAATGCTATGAAATTGAAGTTGGAAGAAAGAATCCAGAAATGAAAGGCCTATGAAGGCGAAACAAAGTTGGAAAAGGTTAAGTCCCACGCGACTAGCCGTTGTAGCAAAGTTTGAGGAGCCAAAAGTTCCCCAATGCCCCGAAGCTAAAAAAAAGAAAAAAAAAGAAAAAAAGAAAGAAAAAGAAGTCAGAAGGGAAAGGCCTACGAAGGGAAAATAAGTTGAAAAGGTTGAGTTCCACCGACCAACCGTCATGGCAAAGTCTGGAAAAGCCAGAGGTTCTCTAGGGCTTGAAATAAAATCGGTCCTCAGGGAACAAACAGTTGCAGTTGAGATCTTCATCAAAGAAGCCGGGCTGAGATTAAGTGATTGAAACAATCAAGGCCACGAAAACAACCATCATTTCAAACTAACAACTGTTCTTTGTTTGAGAACAAGAAACATGTGCAATCCAAAGCACCTTGCAAGAAGTAGGTGCAATCAAAAAGAAACTGTGCAAGGGCTAGAAACAGCTCTACAGCAATAATCAATCCAAAAGGGAAGTCTTATCCAAATTCTTTCTTGCATTTTATTCATTTTCTTAAATTAAAAAAAATGAAATGAAAAGAAAGAAGAAGAAAAATTCAAAATCATGGTAGCATAGGGTCTCTAATCTCTCGTTACGTCTTTTCCAACATAGGGTCCCACTCCCTAGCTGATGCCAACATAACCTGATAATCTTTTCCAACATAGGGTCCCACTCTCTAGCTGATGCCAGCATAACATGGGAATCTTTTCCAACATAGGGTCCCACTCCCTAGTTGATTCCGGCATAATCCGATGACTTCCCCGGCATAACCCGAGGACCTTTCCGGCATAACCCGATGACCTTCCCCGACATAACCCGAGGACCTTTCCGGCACAACCCGATGAC